ATGATAATACGAGTACTATGCTTGAGGGTACAATGGCTGTGAGGACTCTCTCATGTTAAAACGTCACAACAGACTGTTTAAAATAGTACTACTCTTTTGCGTTACCGTATGACGCTTCCTGAAGGACTGTCGCAGCACCGCTTTAGGCTATTACCACACGCCAGAAGTCCTATAGCACTCTGAAACGCGGTTCCGAAAACACAGCGCGGTTTATTAATGCATCTCCGCCATTGTTCCAACTACTTCTTTTTTTCGCCTCAGCAGACTACCCACTACTCGCTTATGTCCCAAGTGTGTCGTGCCAGAAGAAGAAGAGAAGTATGCCACAGATAGGCCCTTCCTCCAGACAAGTGGCCGTGGGCACTTGAAGAAAAAAAAATGATCAGACGGAGCTTGTCAGAATGGGTGCCGGCGTGATTCTTTCAATGCTGATTGTGTCTTCATGCCCATTACGCAGGATTGTAAAATGATGCTCAGAACGCTTGATGACTGAGAAAGGACCGTCATAGCGAGGCTGAAGAGCACGGCAAGACGCATCGACATGAACAAAAACGTGTGAAGATGTCTGTAGGTTTGCCGGCAGAAAAACGTCGTTCTTAGTGTGAGCTGAAGTTGGTGATGCGCAAGTTTTGCATAAAGGTCCGCAGACGCTGGACGAAAGAAGATGGATTCGAAAAACTCTGCGTTTTAACGGGGCTGACGAGGTCACCAGGCAAACGGAGTGTGCAGCCATAAACCATGGCTGGCCGAAGTGTTAAACGCAGGCTGAGAAGCACGATGGGGAGGTGTGATACCCAATCTTTGGCGTGAGGATGCGAGGCGAGTGCTGTTTTTAGAAGACGGTGAAGTCTCTCCACTAAGCCATTTGATGCTGGATGATACGCAGTTGTGCGAATACGCGCACAACCCAGTAGAGATGAGACAGAGGTGAAAAGCGCTGGCTCAAACTGTCTGCCCCGATCAGTAGTCACCCTCAATGGTACACCAAAACGGCTAATCCAGGTAGCAAGAAAGGTACGAGCAACTCTTTCTGCCGTGATGTCAGGCATTGGAGCTGCTTCAGGCCACCTAGTGTACCTGTAAATACACGTAAGCAAATACGTATTTCCCCGACATGGAAGTAATGGCCCGACAATGTCCAAATGAATTCTTTCCAAACGTACATGAGGGAGAGAGAATTTTCCCCATGGAGGCTTGGTGTGCCCTTTCACCTTGATACGCTGACATGCTCTGCAAGTGCGAACCCAGTCACGAATGTTAGCGCGTATGCGCGGCCAGACATAGCGTTCAGCGACCAGATGTTGCGTAGCTCTTACACCTGGATGGCAGATGGAGTGGAGGGTGTCAAAAACAGCACGACGAAGCTGTGAAGGAACATAGATACGAGTACAGCTGTGTGATACATCGCACCAGAGCGTAACGTCGTTGTCGGGAAAGTTGACTTGTTCTAGTAGGAGGGAAGTAGAGGATTGGAGTCGTGGAAGCTCATCGTCTAATGCCTGTGCCTCCGCGAGCGAGGAAAATGAAAAGTCGGTGGTGCCTGTCGTGGCATTGATGGTAATACGACTGAGAGCGTCCGCTGCGCTGTTAAAGCTGCCTTTTACATAGCGTATGTCTGTGGCGAATTTGGCAATGAAATCAAGGTGTCGAAGTTCTCTAGGAGTGTGCGTGGCACTGCAGGAACGTAAAGCCGAAAGAAGGGGCTTGTGGACGGTAAGAATGGCAAATTGTCGCCCTTCAAGGAAGTACCTGAAATGCTTCACCGCAAGGTAGGCCGCGAGGAGCTCCCGTCCGAAAGTACTATATCGGCACTCAGTGTCGCGTAACTTGCGGGAAAAGAAGGAAATTCGAGCCCATGCACCATTGACCATTGATGAAGAGCGGCCCCAACTGCTTCTGAAGAAGCGTCCACCATGGGGCTAGTGGGAGCAGTTGGTGAAGGGTGTTGGAGTAGGGTGGCCTGGGCGAGCTTGGTCTTAACGGCGGCAAAAGCTTGATCCGCAACCGTGTCCCAGGGAAGTGCGGCTGACTCGGCTTGCGAAGTCGGGAGTAGTGCTTCCAGAGGCTGCAGCAGTGTAGAGCCTGTAGGGATGAAGCGGCGATAAAAATTGACGAGTCCGAGAAAACGTCGTAGACTGCGTATGGACGTGGGAGACGGGTACTTGAGGATAGCTTGAACCTTGTCAGGTAGAGGAGTGATGCCATCTTTAGTGATATGATGTCCGAGGAATGCTATCTCCGAGACTCCAAAATGACACTTTTCTACATTGATGACAAGGTCGTAATCACGCAGTCGAGTGAAAAGCTGACGTAGATGTGCCTTGGGCGTTTCAACGTCCTTGCTGGCAACGAAAAGATCGTCGATATAGGCGAAACAAAACGGCAAGCCCGTTGTGACTTCGTCTATAAAACGCTGAAATGTCTGAGCTGAGTTTCCGAAACCGAACGGCATTCTTAAATACTCACAGAGCCCAAATGGTGTAATTATTGCAGTTTTGAGGATTTCAGAAGGCTCAACGGGGATCTGGTGATAAGGTTTCACAAGATCAATCTTCGAGTATACAGTTGTGCCGGTTAAAAAAGCAGTACAGTCTTGAATACTGGGTAACGGATATCGATCTGGAATGGTGACTGCATTGAGAGCTCGATAATCACCACAGGGTCACCAGTCATTGTTCTTCTTGGAAACCATGTGTAGCGCCGACGACCATGAGCTTGATGACGGACGAATGATTTGCAACTGTATTATATGCTCAAACTCGTTGCGAGCAATTCAAAGTTTATCAGGGCCAAGTCTGCGAGAGCGGCAATGAACCGGTGGGCCTGTGGGAACGATGCAGTGGATCGCAGTGTGCTTGGGGATCTGATTCATGTGAGACTGCGTTGTTATTTCCGGAAACTCGTTGAACAGACCTGTACATGGTGACGCGGGCGGTTTCACGAAAGTGGGGTTTAGGGCCGTAGCGTGTGACAGAAAACCAGTGACCGATAAGCCGGTATAGCTATCCACCAGGCGACAGCGGTTCATATCCACGAGCAGATGAAAATGCCTCAAGAAATCAGCGCCTAAGATTGCGTAGCGTACGTCTGCTATCCAAAATAACCACTGCAGTTTCCTCTTAAGACCGAGATCAAGGGTCAGAGACTTCTGTCCGTAAGTTGCGATGACCGAAGAATTGATCGCATGTAAAGAAGGTGACTTTTAGCGAAGGTCAGTTTTGGACACCGGTCAGTTTTGGACGCTGGAATTATTCTGACGTCTGCTCCAGTGTCCACCAGCAAGCGCAGACCTGTGGTTTTGTCGGTGATGTGGAAGAGGTGGCTTGATGCTTGGCATTGATCTCCCGCCGCTGTTATTGACGATCGACCGGAGCGTTTCCTGTGTGCCAAGAGCAAGGTGGCACACATTTGCGAGCCTCAGCACGAAAACGGCGGTGATAATAGCATGTAATCTGCGGCGAAAAGCAGTGCTCGGGCAGGTGGAGGGGCCGTTGCGGAGCAGCCGACGTGAGAGATGGTCGATGTGGACGAGGCTGGTCATTTAAGTTGCGAATGCTCAGCAATTGCAGACGCAAGTTGGCGACTTCAGCTGCGAGATCTTTTACCGTTTCTCGAAGGGAATCTGCTTCGGAAATTGGAGAGGTGTGGGCAGCGTTTATGAATGCCGGAGCAACGTCAATCATGTCATTGGCCATTTCTGCCAGCTCCGACAACGGCTTATCCTGAGCTGGGACAAGAGCCATTCTCATGGTAGGTGGAAGACGCTGTAGAAACAACTCACGTAGTATGGATGTTTCCGAGCCGTCCGGCTGGTTTCCAAGCAGGTGCTGCAGGTGACGTAGAAACTGTGTGGGACGGTGGTCCCCGAGCTCTTCGTTGCACAGAAACTGCTGAATGCGCCGATGCTTAGGCGGAACGAGTCAATGAAGAAGAGCCTGTTTGACTGTCGTATATGGAGTGTCACCAGGCGGGCCCACGAGGATGTCGCGTATTTCGGCCATTGCCTCTGGCAGCAACACTTGAACGAGGAGCTCATGCTTGCGATTTTCTGACGTGATGCCATGAATGCGGAACTTGTTCTCGACTTGAATGAACCGTGAGGAGGGATCGGCAAGCCACAGCTGTGGTAGCGTCATGGTAGCAGTACCTCCAACAACACCCAAAGTGGGTACATGGCCGGGTGCAGTGGCAGCGGTACCAGGGCTGAGGCTGTCGAGATGCTCACGCTGCTCCATGGAAGGTCGCGTTCGTAGTCCGTGTCACCAATAAATATAGCACTCTGAAACGCGGTTCTGAAAACACAGCGCGGTTTATTAATGCGTCTCCGCCATTGTTCCAACTTCTTCTTTTTTTCTCCTCAGCAGACTACCCACTACTAGTTTATGTCCAAAGTGTGTCGTGCCAGAAGAAGAAGAAAAGTATGCCACAGCCCATAGGTTAGCTTCTCATAAGTTATTTTTTCTGGAATTGAGATATGTTAGATAGTTAAGCTTCTATCACAGTACTGGAACCTCTTCTGCTCATATGCAGCTACATTTCTTCTGGTTATGTAATAAACACTAGCACAGGAGCCACCTACCATCATTCTGTCTTAGACCCTATCCCAACCTCAGCATGCACCCAAAGTTTTCATCATAATGTTCAAGGGCCACTACTTGACAAGAACTGCTATATATGGTGTGGGTACCAAGTTTTCTCACGGCTGACAGTGTAGGCAGCTGAAGGCCCGTACACATTGTATATTTTCTGCGACTGGAGTAGAAGATGAGGGAGCCGATACGGCTAGATTTAGGTCGCCAGTGAACAAAACAACAGAACATAAAAGTTGAAAGTCTACGCCACCGTAGAGCCATATAAGGCGTTATAACCGACATGGCAAATGGCTTCATGTTGATTGCATGTCTACACGTCTAATTTTTATGTCACCATACCTTAGTTTCTGTTCCTTTTGAATAAGTAAAATGACATGAGAGGAAGTGCGAGATGACTCATGGACTCACCTTGCCAGAGGTAGCCGTAACATTTGGTACAAGTGATGTCGCTGAACACTCGGTGAGCTCCACAGAAAGCTCGCTGTCACTCCCGTTTTCGTTGTAAAGCTGCGCACATAGATTAGTCATATTGCAAACTCCAAACGTCGACACAACATTTGTTATGGCAATCAGTCATAGTAAACTATGTGGGCTTATAGCTAGGTAGGAACAATGATCGCTGTTACAGATTGTCGCTGCTATATTTGCTGAGTGGTGGTAGTAACGAAGACGTCTGAATCTTAAGTGATCGTTACCCTCTGCTTTTACAAATACTGCTTGTTAGAAAATTATCCAGACTCCAGAATGCCAACTGCCTGGTGTGGCTTCTAGATAGGAGCAATTATCGACCACAATTTTCATGCCCACAGTTCCTACGTAATCCCCTGGAAGAGTTTAAACACGGCGGAAATCTTGTAGACGGCCAGACTGCTTAGCGGTGTTGGCAACGGAAAAGACGTTTCAATCTTGAGTGATCGTTACCACCTGCTTTTGCAAATTCTCCTCGTCAGGAAATCAGCCAGACTCAAGAAAGCCAACTGCCTGCTGTAGCATCTACCTAGGAGCCATTATCGACCACGATTTCAACGCGCACCGTTCCTACGTCACCCCTGGACAAGTGAAAAGACGGTGGAAGTCCTATCGACGGACATTTGTTCAGCGGTGGTGGCCACGAAAAAGACGTCTGCATCTTCTGAAATTGTTAACTTCTGCTTTTGCAGGTTGTTTTTTTATTTCTCTGTTCACTGACTACAATAAACGTATTGCCACCAACGCTGATGCATCTATTGTACATTCTGAGCTGTAGTTTGTTTTAACCCCTGTGCCAGGTAAACAGACATGCCTGACTTTCGTTTGGTTTGAAGTGAGGCTTTTGTAGACTATGCCTTGTGTCGAACGTGCTCCGAGTGTAACTACGGTTATCATTTAGGTTCACGCTCGGGTTTAACGAAAGCTGCCTTCAAGTCTAACGATGACATGATAAAAAAAAACATGGAAGTGCCAGACATGCGTCGTCTCAGATGCTCGTAGCAATCAGTCTGGAGAGAAGGGTGGCTTGAGAGATAAAAAAAAACACCCAAAAAGTGCTCATTAAAATTAAGAAAAAGTTGGCTCCGTTATTAATCATCGAGAGCAGGGTTGATGCCCTTTTTTATGTCAAGTAAACTCTTGACAAACTGGATCACTCGATTGAGCACCAATCGGAACAGTACGACATGGGGCTTGCAGAAATGAAAAAGCAATCCGCTGAAATCGTAAGCCTTAAAGAGAAAGTTGAAATTGTGGAATTGACTAACATTGTGCAGCAAGTTTCCAAATTAAAAAAAAAACAAGTGACTGCTCTCAAACAATACAGTAGACGACATAATTTAGAAATACAGAGTATGGCGGTTGTGGATAAAGAGAATTTGCTTGAAGGAGTCGTCAACTGGCTAATAAACTTCGCTTTCTTGCGCTTAACCGCACTGACCTTAAGGCGTTACACAGACCGCCAGCATAGCCTTGAAACAATCCCACTCTATTATAGCTCGTTTCACTTTACGTGATAAGTGGTTGTCCGAGAGAACTAAACTTAGAGATGCTAAACTTGCGGTTGAATTGAGAGACAATGTGACGCCGCAGAAATAAAAAATAGGCCCCATAACGGCATGTTACACTGCAAATGTCATCTAAAAACGATTGTCTTGCGCCTGAAGAGACTGAAAAAAAAAACGTTTATTTGATGTTCTGCGCAAAAAAAAATCGAACGACAACCGGCGCATTCAGCATGGTATGGCCGATGGCAGCGTAAAAAAAAATTGGTGAATAGCATTCCGGAGGCGCTGCGTTAGAGTGTCTCTAGCAGGCAGCAGAGGCAAACTAGCACATCAAGTCGCGTCACACGTGAAACACGAGCGCTATCTGGCAGTTACTTTGAAACAAAACTCGCGGCGTGCGCGCCCGTCTCGGTGGTGATAAGGTGCATTACGCAAGGCGACGCGCAGGCGCCATTACCGTGTCGCCTTAGCAAAGCGTTAGAAACACTTGCCTTTTCGTGCAAGCATTGCATAATCAGCGCAGCTTCATAGGCGCTATGGCCCTTCTAATTACTTATGCATGGCCTACCTAGTAATAAGACGCACGCACAGACTATTGACGTGTTGGTATGGTGCCTCAGTTATGTGCAATAATTGCTCTTTCTTTGACAATCACCCAAGTGTGAACGCTAAAGCTTGAGCAATATTGGTGGGCGCTCCGGATGAAGTCCACCGTTTGAGGTATCGTTAAAAGCGGACAAACAGACAATTATACAGACAGACAGGCAGACAGACAGACAGACAGACAGACAGACAGACAGACAGACAGATATACCAAAATTTTTGCGTCGAAGGTCCCTAAGATGAACTATCCTCTTAAAAAAATTCTCTGGATGACGAGGGCAAAGGCCCGAGAAATGAACTTCGATTAAGTGAGGCAGAAGGATGCGAAACAATTCGTAGATAAAGCTTCTGGCCAGCGTGCGTGGTGCACCGAATGCGAAGCAGATCTTGATAAAATCGCTTGAACGCATATACCTGCGCCGCTTTATTGCTCTCCTTTTATGGCATTTTTGCTTCGATGGCTGACTACAGCAAGATTGTGCATCACGATGTTTCTTCGTAAAATTCTTCAGTACATAACGTGAGCCGTGAACATTATAGCATGCCTGTTTTCCACGTAAATATAAGAAGCTTGAAGAACAAACCACTAAAAATTGATCGATATTTTAGTCGCTTGACTACAATTTTAACTTCATTGCATTTACGGAAACTTAGTTTCAGAATGATCAGGATGTTGTGCACTTTTCGGGTTATAGATCAGAAGGTGTCTATAGATCAAATTGTAGAGGTGGAGGAAGCTCTTTGTATATAAACGATGGCATTACTTATGATGTGCTGGGTGTATTTTTGCGTGTTACCACAAGTTATGAATCCGTTGTTGTGAAGAGCGTAAGAACAGTTACTGCTTGGGTTTACCGGCCCCCTTCATAAGATACTAAACCCTTATTTGAATATAGTACTTTCCTGTTTGGATACATCTCTTCAAAAATGTCGCCTAATGTTGTTGGTGGTGATTTTAATAACAATATATTGAGAAACACTACACATGAGATCAATAATTTAACTTGATCGAATCATACTCCTGTGGAAATCTAATATATTCGCCAACTAGAATTACAGGGTTAGGTGAAACTTTGATTGATCTTTGTGCTACCAGATTTGATAAAAGTGACGTTACTTCTGGAATTTTCGCGAGCAATTTGGGTGACCACCTACTCATTTGCTGAATATTCCTGCTCCAAAATACGTTGAACTGCTCCTGTTCCTTATCAGAGGTTTGATGAACCATCACTCTCTGCTTTTCACTCAATGACCGAGCTTTTCGACTGGACAAACGTTAAGGAAGAAAACCCAAGCTTCTCATACGACAGATTCCTGCTACACGTCAAGTGTTGCTACGTGGAAGCTTTCCCTAAACTTTATGCCTAAATACACAAAAAAGTAATAAACTATGGGTAAGAAAAGAGTTACGTCGGAGAAAATTAGGCCCGAGATATCATGCACCATCAGTTTATTAACCTAAAATTTAGCGCTTCTTCACGAGTATAAAGATGTGAGAAGCAAGTTAAACTCTGACCTCAAAAAAGTTCGGGCTGAATATTTTAAAAACAGATTCCTTGCTGTTTCCGATGACCCCAAAAAAGGTTCGGAACTCATTACGTTCCCTATTTGGTCAAGAACAGAATTGCATTTCTAGTACATTGGTGCCTTATGGTGTCTCATGAGGTAAAGATGCTTTGTTAGATAGATTCAATTTATACTTTTTAACTTCAGGTACATATTTATCTTCCGCCAAGTGATTAGTCGTTGAAACATACATAACTTCATGTTGTAAGAATCCTCTATTTCTATAGCCATGTAGTGAACTGGAGATCTACTCTTTTCTTATTAGGCTAAACAAAATATTGGTGCCAGGAACGATGAAATTAAAGTTATGTCAATAAACTTCGTTGCCAATTTACTTGCTGCACCTTCACAACATAATTTTAAGGGAGCCCAAGTTAAAACCAACTTCCCAGCAGCTATGAAAACTGCGAGGGTAACAGTGTTACACAAAGGAGACTCTATCAGTGATTTGAATATTTCCCACCCGATATTTGTGTTACTCTTATTCTAGAAAGCGTTACAAAACGTAATAAAAACAAGGATAACCAAGTTTCTAGATGTTCATAAAATACTTGTCGGTGAGCAATTTTGCTTTCGAGCGAAAAAGTCTACATAAATGGAAATATTTGGCGTAAGAGATCAAATCGCTAAAAATATAGAGTGCAAGTAATTCACCCTGCAATTATTTTTAGATTTTTGAAATGCATTCGGCTTGATTAAGCATAATATTTTGTTTAAAACATTCCTCATTATGGCAGTATAGGTATGGCTTTTGTGTTATTTTGTAGCTAGTTAACAGACAGATTACAATATACATGTGTTCACGGCGATATATAGCAATTAGAACAATAACTCTAGATGTGCCTCATGGTTCTATGCTGGTACCTCTAATATTTAATGTTGATATAAAAATTTCCGGAGCCCTCCACTACGGCGTCTCTCATAATCATATAGTGGTTTTGGGACGTTAAACCCCACAAATCAATCAATCATTAATGTTGATATAAATGATATCGTTCACGTGCCAGTGGTTTCTTCTACCGTTATGCAAGCATACGATACAGGCTTGTTCTTCTCTTGCCGCTGTTTAAAAGATCTGGCGAAGAAAGCGAATGATTGCCTGGTCTCACTTTGTTAATAGCTATATTAGAACCAACTGCAATTTGATGTTAGATAAACTGAATTTATCTTATTTAGAAGCAGCAAGAACAAGTTAGAAGATTACAAGATTTTTTTTTGATTAAAAAATGAAATCCAACCAGTCCTCTTCTTTAGTTTCCGGGTGTATATTTTAATGAGCACCTCAGTTGGGCACATCAAAATAATAAAGAACATGCCAATAAGTCTCGATCACTTTCTGTTTTAAACAAATTTAGGTGCCTA